AATTAAATAAGCCTCGCTCGAAAGCGTCAGCCAAATATAAGCGTAAAGCGTTAGCCGATTCACGTTTTTCGGCTTGGCAATAATGAGGGCCGAGATTTTGCTGGAGTTGACCTTTTGATTTTTAGAATTGCGTTTATTATCTTAGGGTATGTTAGTAAGGACTGTAAAGGCATGAAGTATTTTTTTAATTTATTTGATGTTAAAAATATTATTATCCGTATTTCTTTTTCATATTATAATCTTTAACTGTTTAATATTCTTCCGTGTACGCAATTTTTATACTAGTGGTTTAAAGTTTTAGCTTCACGTACTAATAAGTACGTGCGTCCTACAATCATTAAATATAATGATTGTAGGAATCATTATATTTAATAATATAATGATTACAATCATTATATTTAATGATTGTAGGATATCAGAAAAAAAAACATAACTTGTAACAAGTTTTCTAGTACATCCAAGAAGAGATCAGATCAAATATATCTCCTTCGGGGTCAAGTGGACACCGAAAAAGACACCCCCAAATACACACTTGAAGCGCTCGACAAGAATCAAAATGGCGGGTACGTCAAATTGACACATCCGGCCGGGAGAGGCTTTGGCGGCCCACTCGCCGGAAGTGCACTTAATGTCTTCAAATTCCTGATATCCACTTCAGTGAGTACATGCTTCCTGAAAATGTGGCCTACTGGAGATTTATGTTGCTTCAAATATTATTTTTTGTTCTTGAAACAAAGATGGCGTTTTGTTAAGTACTTGGTAGCGATATATTTTTTGCGTGTAGAATTGAGCGGTTATAATGTACTGTTAACAGCATGTCAGGTTAAACAAATTCGTCAAAAATATTCAATTAATTTTCAACCTTAAGATATTATTCTTAATACAAAATGCTAAAAAATCCCCTTGGTCCCTGGCACCCTGAGATGGGAATCGAACCCACAACCTTTCGCAATCCGGGCGACTGCTCTAACCGCTGAGCTACCCAGGACCTAACAGGACTGACGAATCTTTCAAGCACTTGTTACTCTTCGCTACTACAGAGCGTATTCTCATTAATGATCAGGCATCCACCCAAACAGCCGAAAGAAATATTGTTACAAATATTGAAACTTTTGATAAAGATGAGAATTTTACGAGTAATTATTATATTTTTGATTAATTTTGCATTCACAATGCCATACTGAAAATTATTCTTAATACAAAATGCTTAAAAAATCCACTTGGTCCCTGGCACCCTGAGATGGAAATCGAACCCACGACCTTTCCCAATCCGGGCGACTGCTCTAACCGCTGAACTACCCAGTACGTGCTACGTCAGTACGTGGAAAGAATTAAAAATCAACTGCGGTTTGAAATACTGTGATAACCTGACGTGCTGCTGTGTGTACATTTGATTGATCAAAATCCGGAGGATAATAAAATTACAATAGATTTTGAAAAAAGCTAGTATGTTGATTTAAAACCTAAACTTATTTAAGATTATATTTAAATTTTAGTCGCAATGCGATCTAATGTATGATTTCTGTCGAATGTTGTTATTTCTGTGAATAAAAACTAAATTTGATGTTGCAGATTGAAAAGTAACACCACATTTTACCACCAGCTAAAGTTAAAATAAGCAACAAAACATTTTTGTAGATTTTTTTGAAGATTTCCAAATGTTATTTCTATAATTAAAAAGATTAATTATTTCGAGGTTGCTTTTTAGGGTCCCGTACCTAAAGGGTAAAACGGGAACCTATTGGTTAGATTTCGCTGTCTGTCTGTCTGTCACCAGGCTATATCTCATGAACAGTGAAAGTGAGATAGTTGAAATTTTCACAGGTCATGAATTTTTGTTGCCGCTTTAACAACTTATAATAAAACCAGAATATAATAAAAATTTAGGGAGTCTCTCATACAACAAACGTTATTTTTTTGCTAGTGTCCTGTACGGAACGGTGCTCGAGTCCGACTCGCAATTGATCGATTTTTTTTCAGACAACATAATTACAATACCAAAAACAGCAAATTATTTAATTTCAGATATAATATTAACCGACTTTGAAATACGAGTAGGTTTTCAGGATGACCTCTGAGGTACGGTTGACCTTATCTTGCATTTCGCTGAACTGATTTTGATGATTTTTAGAAAAGTATTTGTTTTCTGTCCTCTTATTCTTTTATTTACTTAAGTGAAAACTAAATTTAGTCTGGGTTTTACATTGGCTCAATCAAACCTAAACAAGTTTAGGTTTTTTAACAAAAACCTGAATCTGTGAAGTTTAGGAAAACTTCATTTTATCAGGATTACGATTAAATTAAGTTGTAATTTTATCACATTTTTTAAATCTGTCTTTAACAGCCAGACAACCCTCCGAACGAATCCTATATAGTAGAATATTATTATATTAATATATTCATAATAAAAATTGTTTAAAAAAATCCACTTTGTCCCTGGCACTCTGACATGGGACTCGTGTACATTATGAATATATTTCAATATCGTGTACATATGAATGTAAAATTGATTAATATGATATAATATTGCTACATATATTACAATACCTATGAAAACACTTTTCCTCTTAAGTACCTATATATCTTGATTTCCATAATACAAGAGTATTAGTCTGATTTTAATTGTTATTGTTTTTTTATTCACTTATTGTAAAGTGATACTTTGTCAATGTAAGGATGGTTACATATCCATATAAGGTAAGATTAAGTTTTACATGTTACATTTATATAAAAATTGAAATTTTTGGACAAAATGGAAATGTAAGTAGGCAATATTTTTATACATAGCACTTTCATTTGGAAATTCAGGCACAGTCCGCACATATTTTAGAGTAGCGAAATATCCCGCCCACCCTGGAGAACGCGAAGGAATTTCATATTAAGTAAAATAGTTGGACAATTTGAAAATATTCGCGGTACGTGAAATTTTAGAAATATCGTTTTTGAAATATTGTTATGTGTCTGTTCAATATATTATTGGTCGTATAATGGATTATGGATTATTATTGTCATGAACGGGTGGGGAGACTATGGAGACTCTTAAGAGATGGGTAGACAATATTCGCAAGCCCAGACCGGATGTTGAAGGCGCAATATCGACAGGAAGGGACGTGGACGTGAAAACGATTGATTATTTGAAAATGATAATTATTATGGACCATATAGTTGGTGAATTTGAATTCAACTCGACAAAAAAATACTAAAACCCTTCTATTTTGCTTAATTTTAAAATTAATTTATTCAGGGGTCTTCTTTCTGTGCGCTTCCACAATAAGGTCCCAAACAAAAACATCAATTACATTCTGTTTAAAAATACTATAAAAAAAAAACTTTTTATAAGGCATCTCATTATACAACAGATAAAAATTCTTGGATTTAAGACGGTTCAGCAATTAGATAGGTGATTTTTTCTAAAAATCTTATATCTCCCAACAATCTTGTTACTATTAATAAATTATTACTTTGTCCGTATGTTCCGTGCTGATTCTTCTTTTTTTGTTCTGTGGCTGGGACAAAGACCGTGGAAAGAAAGAAACGCAGGATGAACGGATTCTTTTAAAATATTCATGAAAATCCGTTTGGTAGTTTTAATTCGATGCATGTACGGACCGATACATCGACGCAAGATTTATGTTTAAGATATAATATATATGAACATATGCTTCATATTATTATATGAGATTTTGCACCATGACAAGTGGATTCGTTGTTTACCCCCACTTATTGGCACTGCGTTTATATCGTAGATTTCGAGCAGTTTTCTGGCTCGTCCTTATATCGACTAGGATGATCTCGGATGATTTTTTTTCAGTAACTTATGCTGTGAGATATGAGATAGGTTTATTTTTGTGGGTAGGCCTTCGGGAACTCACTATGCGGCTAGCCACGGGGTGTGTTCACGAAGGAGAGTCCTAATGCTTTTTCTCGATAAAAAATGGTAGAATCTCTAGGCTTGTTTAGGAACTATAGATCGATCTCGCTTTTGAACCATGATTATAAGTTGTTCTCTAGGGTCATTACGAATCGTCTCGTTCGCAAGCTTGACGTCTTTCGAACTCCCGAACAAGCTGGATTCAGTCCAATTACAAAACCAGAACTCTAATCCTATCCAATTGTAGCGAGGCGTAAGGCAGGTTTCCCGCAGTTTATCTCTCAGTTATTCACCGCTGCGTTGGAGAATATTTTCAAGCTTCTGGATTGGAAAGGATACGACATCAATATTAATGGACGTATCTTACACTCCTGTGCTTTGCCGATAATGTAGTCCTAATGGCTGAGACCTTGGAAAACCTGAACCATGCTTGAAGATCTCAGAGTAGTGCATCCCAAAGAGTGGGTCTTAAGATGAACATGGATAAGACGAAAATTATGTCAAACGTCCATGTTGTACCCACTCCAGTTTAAATTGGGAATACTACTCTTGAAATTGTCGACCATTATGTGTACCTAGGACAGACAGTCCAGCTAGGCAAGTCCAATTTCGAGCAAGAGATGTCTCGTCAAATTCAGCTCGGATGGGCAGCGTTCGGGAAGCTGAGAAATATCTTCGCGTCCAAATTACCACAGTGCCTCAAGACCAAAGCATTCAATCAGTATGTGTTGTCAGTGATGACTTACGGAAGAACTAACGTTACTGACATTGCTCAAAGAATTGCTCAGCTAAAGTGGCATTGGGTGGCATACTTAGGGAGAAGAACTGATGGCCATTGGGGCAGAAGAGTTCTCGAATGGTGACCACATACCGGACGATGCTCAGTGATTAGGCCTCCCACCTGGTGGACCGACGATCTTATAAAGGTTGAGGTAAACCGCAGCCTTATGTTCAGCAGTGGGTGTCATACGGCTGATGATGATGACGTCATTCCTCACGGTTATTCAATAAATCGGTTGTATCTAAAAAAAATGTTAGGGTCTTGGTAAATCCGGCTCTGATTATTATATAACACATTTTCCAGAATCGGTGTCGTTAAATAATGATGACTTTAAGTTTATCACAACTCGATAAGACAACAATTAAATAACAAACATTACCCGTATCAGTAACATTCGTACTTTCAAATTATTAAGATGAGGTTGTACATTGGTTTTCTATTGGTTGTTGTGGCTGTGGTGGAGTGTGGTCACACCTTTATAGGTACTAATGTTCAGCGGCCACAAGTGTACCACAACATGGTACGGTATGATTCACTTGTGTTCAGGAAGAGAATTGAAAACCTGTATTATACCTTACCGGCTTTGCCTGCGAATGCGGGTCGGGCAATTCAGGTGAGTTAAAAAATTGTACATACTGAAGGTCTGGTTTATACATAGTTAAATAGATAAATATTATGTGTAACTAGGACAGACCATGAAAATTCTAATTTTAAATTCAATTAACCTTTTAAGTACAGTTGGGTCATAATAATAGGTTACATTTGACATTTATCAATTTCAATTTGATTGTGAGGTGTAATGCCTAAAATTTTCGATTATTATAACTAATCGATATGGTTTTCAAACAAATCTTAATCGAATGTATTATGCAAAAAATAATATCAATTATAATAACTATTATCAATACATTCTTTATGTGTTTGATTATAAAATAATCGTTTCTCTCTACATTGTAAGAACAACAGAAGAAAATCACTATTGAAAAACGCAGTTTTCAACTCGGTGATGCATACATTAAAAATTAGTTATAAAAAAAAAATACTGTACTTATCTTTTTTATTGCCCACGGCAAATAGACAAGCAAAGAGAACGTTGAGTTGTGCGGCGAAAACTGTTAATTTATTATTCGCAAGCTACATATTTTGTTACGATTAATTAATTTCCTCTATAAACACATAATAATAATACTACAACAAGAAATATAAAAATGTCGCATTTTTGAGGTATATTTGTTATTATGTTCTATTAATTTTATTTTATAAACTCAGGTTTTGGATGAGACAAAATCTTCATATAATTTAAGGTTTCTGTCTTTCCCGTGCTTCGAAAGCCATCATAAGCTATTTAGTTTATATAGAAATTAAGTTCATTAATAAATATATTTTAATGATTAAAAAATGTCAAATGCCAAATGCCGAGTGGTTCGCACGTCGGTTTCAAGGTCTCACCTCTGAGATCCCGGTTTCGATTCCCGGTCGGGTCAATGTAGAAAAAGGACTTTTCTATATCGTCTCGGGTCCGGGTGTTGTGATACCAGCATTTTATTCAGATATTCCATAATACGGGGGCATTAGCAACCTACTCATCTTGGAATCTGAGAAATGTGTTGCGTGCAACATAAATACTTTTTTTGTCTATGATTTTTAATTTGATTTTATAATCTTAAATATAAAATGTTCGTTACATATTAAAAAAGTCTATACTAATGTCTATACATAAGATTCTATAAATTGTACTACAAATTCAATAAATAAATATTTATATTACAAATACAAAGGCGTCTATGTAATAACCCAACCAGCCATCAGTCTACTAGATAAAACAACCATACATCGTTACAAAATGTATGTGACGTTGTATAATGTGGCCTATTATAATTAACCCAACTGTAATGTTGATAAAGAAAAACACCAATTTATAAATATTTATGTAAGTATTTTTAAAGTGTGTGGCAAATAACTTGAACACGAATTTGATAATACGTACTAGGTAAATAAAACGTTTACTTTTGTGATGTAAGCATTAATATTAATTATGGTGTTTACCACCGATTTGAACTTAAAACAAATAAAGTATGAAAAAATAGGAAATGAATTTGGCCACGACGCTATTTAAAAAAACGAGGGATCCCACGTAACTGTTTTTGAAACGTTATGTAGTAAAATACTAGTCTTTGTTTTTTTTTCTTTAATTTGCATGAAAATAATTTATAAATGCTATTAAACAATACTTTTATTTTTAAAATATAATATCTTTTTATCAACTTTATAATAATTTATTTTCTATTACGTCGATTTAGTACAACGTTACGTTCTACCTTTCCTTTTGAAGTGTCAAATGTGACATTATGATGACACAACTGTAGTTATTTAAATTTTCACTTACTACCTATTACTCATTCATGTGTTTACACGTACTTAATAACTTAAAATTAAGATAAAAATCTACTTACTGTTTATCTACTTAATAACATGCATGTGTGAATCAGCTATTAAGGATAATGGTTGGGAAAAGAAAAAAAATCTATTCAGTCATATTTTTATCCTCCAATTTAATAAGAAATGGTGCCTTACCTTTCAATTGGACATTTGAAAGATATTCACGAGCTTCACTACAACTCAGCAATGGCATGTTTCACATTAAAACCGCTGATAACTCTTTCATAATAATTAAGAAAGAAATGAAATTTCCATTTCATCTTGGGGTGTGGATTGTTTAATTATTTTTAACACCTTTGCTCGTAAAGCTGATGTAATTCCACCGGTTTTAAAAATGTAAAGCGGATCATAAAAAACGCGTGTATTACCAAAGCAAATAGTTAAGTTATAGTCCATACACATTCCATAACAGTATTATTTGCCATTTCGCGCGCTGTTGCTATTCAAATTTCGAAGTTAATTATGTTGCTGAATTATGAATTATGTTGCTTTCCCGCCATTTTAACAGCGCGCTAGCGCTGCCTACTGACTGGCGCCGCGCGGCGATTAGTTCGAAATTTGAATAGCAACAGCGCGCGAAATTGCAAATAATACTGTTATGGAATTTGTATGGACTATAACTTAACTATTTGCTTTGGTAACACACGCGTTTTTTATGATCCGCTGTAAATATTTAAAACCGGTGGAATTACATCAGCTTTACGAGCAAAGGTGTTAAAAAGAATATTTGCCAGTATAGCATTGAGAATGTATAATTGATCAAACATAAGAAATTAAATTGTTAAAGTCCGAAAAAAAAATACCTAGACAAAAAAAACTGGAGGGGGTAGGACTCGCATATGAAAAGTTCAGTACCTACCATTATCTATTAAAATGGCAAAAATACCATGTTTGTGGTATGAGAGCCCTCTTAAATATTTATTTTCTGTTTTTTAGTATTTTTTTATTGTAGCTGCGACAGAAATACATCATCTGTGAAAATTTCAACTGTGATTGTTAGAAACCACGGTTGATGAGATACAGCCTGGTGACAGACGGACAGACAGGAGAACAGACAGACGGACAGCAGAGTCTTAGTAGTAGGTAGGGTCCCCTATTCCCTTTGGATGCGGAACTTAATAAGAACCTTAGAAAAGAATTAGAATCTTTTACAATTTCTTCGGAATCTGCTGAAAATATGTTGTCATGTATCACAGAACATAATTCATTTGTTACTGGTAACACATTATAACATAAAAGTTATTTTAATATTGATAAACTTTGGTTTATGTGGTCACGGTCGAAACATATGATAAACACTTTTTTTATCTTTCAAAACACTTTAATTTGAACGATTATAAATAAACATCTATTCACAAGTATTTTTCTGGTAAACATGATATAGGGTATGTAATTTACTTATTAGTAAATTACACAGATTTTAATTAGCACTGCGAGCACTGAGTGACACTATCAATAGGTCTAACAGTAGCCGTATAGGCCGGACATATAAATATTTTACCGGATACGATTTAAAAAAAAACAAACGTATAACGAATAAAGAACTCCGAATGTATCGGACAGGTGATAACCCTACCTGCGCTTATAATGTTTGTCTAGCTCAACTTTCACGTGTATTATTAGCATTGGTTAGTTTACAGTACTTAGTTTAGTTTACTTAGGTTTGCATCCCGTACTCGTATATCAGTAGTTCGACTTACCTTAGTTTTCATGTAGAGAGTACCTCAGTCCTATGGGAGTTACTCGTATGTGCTTGGAATACTAGCGAGTGAATGTATTTGGAAAATACGATGTGCACAAAACAATATACCAGTCCTCGAACGATTTCTCCAATTCAATTGAAAAGTGTGAATAACTTAAATAAAGTGCGAATAACTTGAATCATTACTATGACAAGGTGTTTCGTAGTTCGACTCGCACACTAGTTTGTTAAATGTAAACTAGCCATGACATTGTACCTAAAGCCTAACCTAACCTACAGCTCCGCTTAACCACTTAATCCTTAGTCACTAGTGTTGTTACAATGCGACAATTTTATTATCGATACCAAGCCATAAAAATATGTACAGACAACGCTCTTTGCCTTTAATATATGTAGAAGATTACATGAGATACTATATTATATTCAACAAAGTGCAATATTATTTTTTTTACGTATGTAAATCTTATCAGACCATCAGCACGGTATTTCAAAACTTATATACATTATAGTTAGATAAATTGAAGACAATTAACAGTTTTGTATGTACTGTAGACTGTATAATTATTAATATACTTTCTATAACCATCCAATTCTGTCAATCGAAGTCACACCTTACGAAAGGAAAAATTCGCATACCTCGCTGACCCATGGCGAATGGGTTTATGAAGGACTCCTTTGTCTTACCACATATTAGAGCTGTGGAGCACATGATTACTCTCCGTACTACCATCCCTATTTTCGGGCTCTTTATGGGATAAAATTGTTAATTATTGGCGTTAAATATCGATATTAGATAAATCAGTCCTATCGATAGTAATCACTATCAATATTTATCGTTAAAGTATCGATAGGCTATTGATATAGCAACAACGTTACTGTTTTAAGATTGTGATTATAATTATTTGTTTGACAGGGTATCCTGGCTTACGATTTGAGCAATTCAGATGCTTCAGCGAATGTGACACAAGGTGGTATTGGATACAACTACGTTAATCTACGAATGAAGAGTTCTAGAGGGAAATCTCTCAAGTTCGACATTTATATATATGCTTGATTTATGAAATTAAAAAAGGATCTCTTTAAAAAACATTTTTAATTTCCCTTTAAGTAGATATTTGATTGTTTTCTTTAGAATTTTTTAGTTAATGTCAACTTTATTAGATATTCTTATTATTGTCCTATAGTAACTGTTGGAGGTAGATAGGTATACACCAAATCTTAAAAAATACAGTTTACCTTATTTTTTGAAGTCGGATAAAGAAGCGGGTCGGGTTCTTGGGGCCATAAACTAAAAACAGCTCTTCAAAAAAAATGTTTAATAACCTACATTATTTATATTTGCTTTCAGTTGTAACGATTGATGAAAATTATTAAAAGATAATCTGCAATGCAATATTACTATGTGAAATACTAAAAAATCATTAATTTTTAACTCTTGTATACAACACCGTAAAACTAAGTGAATTGCTTCCCTATTTAAATAATGAAATGATTAATGAAATGAAATTGGTTTCAAGCGAACACAAAAATAGAAGAAAGTAATTAACGTTTGAAAATCGAAAAAAAAAACAAAAACATTTTTAATGTTACGCTAAAAAAAAAAAAAACATAAATCGTTCCAGCTATCGTAACTTTTGTTGCAGCTAGTCCGAGTTTATGTGACTGGCCGCCACAGATTGGCAATAAAAAAAGACATTTTAAAAACGTTTCATCGGATAACGTTTGACGAGACAGGGGCCTGACCAAACGCTAGTTGCCCGCGTTGATATCAAATATTCAAATAAATAAACAAAAATTCATACTACCTTTTTCGTTACAATGCTTCTATCCTACTTTCTATCCTTTGAATATCCCAGTTAATCTTTAAATCGTAGAAAATTGTAATATTAACACGTGTACTAATAGAATTAAAAAAAAGAAATGTAAGTATTAAAAAAGAACACGAAAATAGTAGAAAAATACTATAAAACCAGTTTGGTCGACAATTTAGCAATATTATCGGTTTGCGACTAATTGAAATTTTCCAAGTTGCAGAAATACCTTTTCTGTAGTGTTACGATGTCTTGATATCTATTGCTGAGAATCAAAATGCTGTCATCTAGTAGATAGATAGATAACTCTTTGTTGTTAATAATACACTATTTACAGAAACAAACATAAATTAAACTTAATAAGTTTGCATAACAATTGGCAGCCTTATCGCTTAAAGCAATTTCTTCCTGGCAACCTGTGGATGGAGAAAGAGATAGTCATTATAACGGAGACGGTACAGTAGCAATTACTGTAATCTATATTTACGAACTATTATTGATAATTAATGTATTTACAGAAAATTGTATCTTTAACAACTTTCAAATGGATTTGAATGGAGAAAAAGTGCAAATAATTTGTAACTAAAAATTAGTAAACTACGTCATATGCGTAAGCGGTTTGGGTGAAAGAGTGAATAAAAGAAGTCTTATTAAAAAAATGTGTATATGCTATGAAGTTAATTTATCCTCGTAATAATACTCTTTTTATAAAGAAAATTGATAAATATATGTGTGTGACTGTTTGTAGAAAATTGATAAATATATGTAGGCGAGAGTTGAATTGTAAAATTAGATAATGCCCATTCTACATATTAGGCAATATCATGAGCTAATAATAGAATGTTCCAAAGACTAAACTGTATACTACTAAATAAAGTATATAGTATTCTGTGCATCCTTTGGATGGAATCACGAAGGTGAGTCCCACATAAACTCTTGTCCACTGCCGTGTGGATGGAATCTAACCAAAAACGCTGGCGTACAGGTGCAGCCGGGATCTACGGCTAAACGTGTCTCTTGAATCACGGGGATCCAGATACAAAAATTTTGGTCACCCATCCTATAACTCACTTTTGCGAAAGTTGCTTAACCCCGAAATTTTCTTACGAGGTGTTATTTCCGCTATGTTTGTGATCAACAGTTTGAGTGACACTATTTCACAGATAGGTGTATCGCCATAACACTAGTCACTTACTAGTGTTTGTTTAGGTTTCAGCCGTTATACAATCAACAGCACGTCAGGCTATACAAATCTGTCAAATTTCTCCAATTGATTTTAAACCTTGATGTGTTGTAGGTAGAGTTCAAACTCAATCGGCGAAATTATACATACTGTGGTAGCCTGACTTGCAGTCCTGTGTACCATTATATAGGTAACAGCTATAAAGGTTAATCCTAGCTTCAAAAGAGTCGTGTATCCGAGCGTGAAATAACGACAGAAAAAAAAGACATTATCCATATTAGAGCGAAAATGGCCACCCGCCATTACGTACGGAAGAATAAACGTAACAGTAAAGCCAGAATGGACTGCAAGATGTCCGCGTCACACAGCCGGAACGTCATTTTTAACGTAATTAAAACTGTTATTGCTTAGGTCCTTTCTATATCCATTAAGGATTATTTCATTAGCTTCTGCTTCTAATGGAGGAGTTTTAAAGTTGATTTGTTCTTTTGCAGTTTTTTTTAAGTCTTTAGAGGTAATTTAAAGTAAGCTTTTATGAGCTTCTATAGTTGTGGTATAAAAACTGACGTCACAACTCTAAAGTGCAGTAATAGCATAACAATTCATCCTTTTTTTTGCTGTAAGTGCACTTTACAGAACTGGAGTGTCTTGCATACAGGTGAGCTATATGCGTATACTTTGTATAGTTAATAATAGGAATTACTATACTAGCTCTAGATTTACAATATTAGACTTTTGTCCCTAAAATGATTACTTAGCTATTTAACGGGCTAAAAAATAGCCTATTAGAGTTATGTCATAAAAATTTGTTCAGTTATTTTTATGTGAAGAAGTAACGAACTTTCAAATTTACAAATTTTTACCTTAATAATTTATATATAATAAGGTACACCAACAGCAAAATACATAAAACATTCACAATATTTAAAATAGGTTACAAAAGTTTTAATTTCAATATGTTCGTCAATCGCAGGTATACGCAACATTTTTCGTATCATTGCAATTATTGATAATTACAGCGCAAAAAAATATGTATTATATAAAGTATGAACTGAGAGGCAAAAAGTAAGAGCTTATTTTATTCATGTAAATAGCAGGGATGTCATTGAAAATGTCGATAGTGGGTACTTTTTCAAAATTTCGTTATACTGCGTACATATCCTTGCGATAGGATAATGCATTCCTAAATTTGTTCTGTCTTTACATGCTGAACAATTTTCGAATATGCTATCGGGGGTACTTGTAAGGGACTGCAATTCCGATTTCGTTAAGAAGAAAATCAGAATCAAAATTATTTATTCAGTCTAGGCTGTTACAGGCACTCGTTAAAGTCGAGAGCTACGCTATCGGTTCGTAAATCTACGGCGGGAGGCCTTGTACCGAGAAGCACTGGCAAGAAATTCGGCGAGGGCCGTTTTTTCTCCCTGTTTTATTTCATACAGAGTGTCAAGATTGTATAATGACTTCATTAAAATATGAAGTCACTTTCCATTACAATATTAAAAAAATGTAAAACTAAAACAGTATTTTCGTCATTCGAATCACATGTGTAGTCAAACAATCACACCGATCAATAATTTAATATACATAAAAATAAGCAATATTTAACACCAAGCAGTTTTGTTGTTTAAATATTCATTAACAGTATAATATCCTTTCTTAATATGGGTTTTAAATTTAGGCAATGGTAAGTTTAAAATTTCCATAGGAATTTTATTATAGTAGTGTGTATAGCTTGACCCATAAATGTTTATAGAAACTCCTTTAGCCTGCATGACGGCAAAACAAGTTTTTTTTGTTTTATGTAAAAACATCAGTACATAGTTTTAATACTTATCCAGCATAACTCCCAAATCTCTAACCTCCTGAACTTCTGTTAGACTCCCGCCGCTCTACATGTAAGTATTTAACTAATGTTGTAAGCATTTCTAGACTTGGAAATTCATCACGAAGTGATGAATTTCCAAGTCTAGAAATGTACTACACACTTGTACACTTGTACAAACACTTGTACACTTACACTTGTACAAAGTCTAGAAAAGACTTTGTACAAGTGTAAGCTGAACAGTTAGAATGTTCATCAAATTTATGAAAAAAAAAATGCTTTTGAAAGCGTTCAGAGAAGGATTAATTTAAAACAATTAAGTATAACAAAATATTAAATACACAGTCACTGTTGCCGACTAAAATATTTAGTAACGTACATTTGCGAACTACTTTTTCCGCCACTAGCCTGGGCCGCGGAAACCTCGGGAATCTGGATACGTCATCAATCACGACGGCGCGTTGGGAAGTAAATCTCTCTCTTTTTTACTCTGTGATCCGACATGCATCAACATAAAGGGGAATATACAGGATTTCGCTCTAATGCTGAAAGGTGATTCGCGCTACGTATAATTTTGCACGAGAAATTTACGAAAAAATAAGTATACTTCGCTACGGCTGTATCTACTTTTCTTTTTTTGTAAGATATTGGTTTTTGCATACTATTTGTCTGAAGGGACTTATGAATATAATTCTTTCTAGGCTCTTTTTGACTGAATACAAGATTACTGCTATAGTATCGAAAATTCTAAGATAATTGTCCAATCTGGGGCAGCCGCTTTTGTGGTGACATCTATATTATCGCTTAGATATTTCCACAAAAATCGGCATTGTATTGGTACGAGATGACGCTGCGACACCTGCACGGTCCGCGGGCTACCAATAATGAAAATTATTCTTTTTATTCAAATAAGCACTTTTAAGTCACTTTTAGTTTAATATTATCAATTTAAAATCAATTAGCGTTGCAATTTTTTATTCTTATATCACAGTATAAGTTATCATGTTTTTAGTTAAATATTTTTATGTCAATGAAAATTAAATGAAGAAATCCGCAGTAGCGGATTTAAATAAGTTATTTTTCCATATAGAGAAGAGGCGTGTTGGTTTTGTCCGGGCTCGATTGTGGAGTTGGCATCTGAAACAATATATAAATTAAACATACACAAAACAATATAGGAAAAAATCTGATTAATCACAAAATATCATAAGCAAATACTTACTATGATACTATCA